GGGGGTTGGGTAAAAGGCTCCGCGTGGGGCGGGGGAAGGGAGGCCGAGGCTCCGTTCGCCTGGAGTTTGGTCCCGAATCCAAGTGACGCCGGTGGGACGGGGACGGACGATGCTGCTGGGTGGTGGCATCAGGGTTGGGGACATTTGCCCTGGAGGCCATCGGGTTGGGGCCACTCGCCCAGGCTGGTGGCATCAGGATAAGGACGGTCCCCGTGGCTGGTGGCATCAGGGTAGGGGACACTCACTTGGCTGGTGGCATCAAGGTGGGGACAGTCCCCATGGCTGGTGGCATCAGGGTAGGGATGGTCACCCTGGTTGGTGGCATCAAGGTGGGGACAATCCCTTTGGATAGGGAGAGTGGATGGGGACAGTGTCCTGGCTTGGTGGCATCAAGGTGGGGACAGTGTCCTGGCTTGGTGGCATCAGGGTAGGGACAATCTCCTGGCTGGTGGCATCAGGGTAGGGACAGTCCCCCCCCTTGGCTGGTGGCATCAAGGCAGGGTGGTGGCATCAGGCTGGGAAGAACATCCTGGCTGGTGTCATCAGGGTGGTGACAGTGTCCCCAGCACCCGTCACTGAGGTGGGGACATTCACCCAAGTGGGTGGCATCAGGTTGGGGACAAAACCCCCAGGGTGGGGACATCCCTTTTGGGTAGCAGCATCAGGGCAGGGACGTCCCCACCGGACGGCATCCTGGGCCTTGCGGTGGCCATGCCGGTGGCCATACCGGTGGCCATGCCGGTGACGACGGTGACGGTGACGACGGTGACGGTGGCGGCAGAGCCCCCGGGGCGGGCAGAGTTAAGGCCGGGCGCTCTCATTCCTTCCACTCCCTCCACGGCGAATTCCTGAGCTGACTTGGATGTTTCCCTGCGATTCCCTGATCGCCTTTCCAGAGCCCAAAACCGGGGAAAAGCGGGAGAGCGCCCGGGGACGGGATTGGGAAAAGGGGGGACAAAAAGCAAAGGATGAGTTCGGTGGTTTTTATTTTTTTTTTGAGGAGGGGTCAAGGTTTGGGTTAAAAAATCCCAGTTTTGGGCCACCTGCCCCAGCCAGGCGATGCCTCGACGCCCGCCTGTGCCGGGATCCGGCGGCTGGCGGGGGCGGGGG